ATCCTGACTGTGTGAGGAACATAGGCTGAAGGTGGGCAAGAATGAAGTCAGATAACCAGTTAGGAGGCTATTAGAGTAGTCTAGGCAGCAGCCTAGGATCAGATGACAAGGGGCAGCATAGAAAAAATGGACAGGTGACATACTTGGCGATAAAATCAATCTGCTCATCATTTAGAGACAGCGTAGCAAGAGAAGAACACAATGGTAAGAATCGCTTTTTTTTTTTTTTTTTTGGTACTGAGGATTAAACTTATGACCTTGCACTTGCCAGGCAGGTGCTTAAGCCACTGAGCTATCTCCCTGGCCCAAGATCAAGAGTAACTCTTAAGATTAGTACAATTACTATGCTGAGCATGGTGCCACACACCTGTAATCTCAGCACTCGGGAGGGTAAGGCAAGAAGATCGCCATGAGTTTGAGACCAGTCTGTTCTAGACAGTTCAAGACCAATCTAAACCACATAGCAAGACATGGTCTCAGAACATTTTTTTTTTCTTTTAAAAGATTAGCCCAATTACTTTAACAGACTTTGAGAAGTACTTTTATCTGGGTAGCTAAGATTTTAGCTGACATTTATTTTCATTATGTTTCCTGAATTTTCCTTTTTTTTTTTTTCTTAATAGCAAACACATGCTGCAACTTTAAAAACATAAAGCATTTATATCTTCACTTTTCTGGCTACCTCTCAGGAGACTGGCCCAGTTTCATTCCGAACTAAAGAGGTCTCAGTAATTACAGTCATGGTGGTGATGGCTGAAGCTAACCCTCAGCAGCCTGACTGTCCCTCCCATGCCAACAGGGGGAAAAGGGCTGCAGGGAGGGATCCTGGGTCTTTCTATGGCAGGGGAAGGGCCCCAGGCATGCAGCTGGCATCTCTGTGTGAAGACCAACCCAGCAGCACCAGGAAACCCACAAGGCCACCTCTCTGGGTGCAGCGCATACTCTCAGGCCTTAGCAACTGGTGTGCCAAAGTCCTCTGCTTCTCATCAGTGTTGGGTACATGAAAACTTAAAAATAAAAAGTCTCAAAAGGCCACTAGGGAGATAGCACAGCTGCATAAGCACCTGCCTGGCAAGGGCAAGGTCCTGAGTTCGATATCCAGTTCCACAAAAAGGAAAACAAAAAAGAACATTTAGGGTTTTTAGGGCCAGCGAGATAGCTCAGACTAAGCTCCTGCTTAGGCAAGCGTAGGGACCAGGGTTCAATCTCCTGGGCATGCTGAGTTGGCCACCAAGACAGAGACCGAGACCAGGCGTGGTGGCACACACCTGTAATCCCAGCGCTGGGAAGCCTGAAAACAGGAGGAGCACTACGAGTCTGAGCTGAAAGTGAGACCTGGGTACCAAATACATTTTTTAAAAAGAGAAAAAAAAAAGCCTCAAAGGCCTATGAAGGTTTAGGGAATCTGATTAGGATTGTATTTTCAATTCATCTTAAGAAGCCCTAATTTGTTACTATTTATTAAGGCAACATGATGAAGTAAAGAAGAAAATCAGATTTTGGAGACAGGCCTTGATCAGAATGCCAGCTCCAGCACTGAGCATTTGTGCGACTTCGGGACATTTAGTTATCCTTTCTGGGCCTCAGTTAAACATCTGGAAGGTGCAAATAACGGTAGCTGTCCCAAAACAACATGAAAAATGCACAGAAAACTGCATACGATGAAGCAGACATTCATTAAATAGAAAATATTTCATAATATAGCAAAGTGTACAATTTTAAAATTCCAAATTTGAAAATGAACTATATAATCATTAAGATGTTTGTTGCATTCCTTTTTTGGGTTTTGTTTTGTTTTTTCCAGTATCGAGGATCAAACTCAGGATACTGCGCTTGCCAGGCAGGCTCTTGTGCCACTGAGCTACATCCCTGGCCCAAGACATCTAAGATACTACCGCAAGAGTAACCCGTGGGGAAATACGCACCACTGTCCCCTGCCATCAGGCTCATATCATTCAGATACACGATGTTGGTGAAGGCCTCTCTTCTTCTCTCCAGCTCCAAGCACAGAGTAAGATATCCAGGCCAGAAACTAAAGAGACCACATTGGAGGCAGCTCATGTATCCGAAGTATGCTGTCTAACACACTGATCACTAGCCACATGTGGCTGTTTAATTGAAAGTACGGTAAGTCCCCAACTTAGGACCATTTCAGTTGTGAACTTTCACAGGTGCACTGCTTAAGATTCACAGGTCTACTGTGCAAGACTCACTTTGTCAGACTTCAAATGAATCCGGAGCATGGAACTTATTGTAAATAAAATTTACAAGCCAATTTTTCAGTTGACCTGTCAATATTTCAAACATCTGATGACGACCACACACAGCTAGCAGCTACCTTATTAAACAGAACATTTCTATTATCACACAGATAACACTGACCTAGAACATTTTTTTACAAATGACATCTAAAACCACACATCAATTATAAGGCATTTAAATGTTATATGCTTTATAAACTTTACAGTTCAACATAAAATTAGTATAATTTTTCTCCAAATTCAGAAACCATGGAAGTTCTCCCTGCCTCATCTCCTTCTTTCAATGGCCAGATACCCAGTCCCACTTCGTCTTCTTTTGAGAAGGCCTTGACTGTGCTCCTTTCGCTGCCCTCCTAATTACCAACCCACCATGCCTGAATGCTCACAACAGCCGCCCAGCAGGCTTCCCTCCCAGTTCTGTGTGTGACAACAGAAATGATCTCCAGAAGGTTCCACTTTCCTTATGTCACTTCTGTACCACAAAATCTAAAGGAGTCTCTACCAATAACTAAATGCTGCTGAGGGCCGGGGATGTAGCTCAGTGGCACAGCGCCTGCCTGGCAAGTGCAAGGCCCAGAGTTCGATTCCCAGTACCAAAAAAGAAAATAGTACAAACGCTTCTGACCAGCTTTCAAGGTCTGCCATCATCTCCACCTCCTTGCCAGACTCTGCCTCACTACCAATGAACAAATACAGATCAAATATCCACCACTGTACGAATGAGACACTGCAAGGGAAGAGAAAGACGCAGGCCTCTGCAAAACATTTCATCCAGGTAAAACCATGGACAACATCTGCACAATAATCTCACAGGTGATGTGGACAATAAGCAGTGTTCACTTGTGGGGCCTTTTCTGGAAATGTTCCTCCCACCCCACCTGGCCCACCCTCTGCCTGGCTCCACTACAGGTACACATCTGCCCCAGCCTTGGGCTTCCCCCAAAGTCTCACCTTTCCCCCGAGCCCTTCCCCAGTGAGTGCTGAGCCTATTCTGATCTCAGTCTTCTTGGAAATCCTTTATCCACTGTAACTGATAGCCAGGGCTTAGACTCCATCTACAGGCCCAAACACTGCAACCAGCAAATGAGCAGAGAGAGGGCCGATCTCTCTTACACAAAAAAGTAGGCATAAAACTCAATATGAGAAAGATGTTTACTATCCCTTAAAAAGATACATTTACCTGTAGATGGTAGACTCCATTGCCAAACAATAAAGCACATCAACTCAGGGCCCTAACTATGAGGTTACTCACTGAAATGACTCTGATTTTAACTTCAGTTTCTATAGAAATCCTCACTTACCCACAAGACTTACAGATGTCAGTCATTTTCTCTTTGGTTGTAAAATCTGCAGGAAGTTTAATTAGATAAAGGATCAGCTGACTGTAACCCCAGGAAAACAAGTGTGAATGAGGCCTGCGTGATGAAAACGTTAGCAAATTAGATAGGAAATAAACTCTATACAGCACTTACTCGTCACCTAAGAGTTAAGAATATAGTTTAGGGGGGAACTACCTGCTCAGGCCCCCCCTCCTGTCCCTCTCTTGGGACAGGAGCTTTCTTTCTCTCCATAAATATATTCTGCTCATAAAAAAATAAAAATAAAAATAAAGAATATAGTTTAATTATGTTCTATTATTCCACTTTCTAAACATTTCTATTTGCCTTTTGAAAAATTATAACTTTCTATTTTTCTTATAATCTTTTCATGTTAAAAAACAGTAAAAAGGAAGCTGGGCATGGTGGCACATGCCTATAATCCCAGCACGCAGGAGGCTAAGGCAGGAGGATCACTGAGCTGAAGACCAGCCTGGGTTACAAAATGAGCTCAAGGCCAGTCTGGACTACACAGCGAGGCCCTGTCTGAAAAAGGAAAAAAAAAAACAGTAAGAAAGATAAAAATTTGATAGGCACCTATAATCCCAGCTATTCAAGAGGTTGAGGCAGGAAACTTGTAAATTTGAGGTGAGCCTGGACAACTGAGAGATCCTCTCTCAAAGTGAAAAGCAAAAAAGATTAGGGACATAGCTCAGTGATAAAGTGCCCTGAGTTCGATCCCAGGCACTAAAAGAAAAGAAAATAGCCTAGAAAGTTAGGGGATAGCAATACATAGCTCAGCAGTACAGTGCTTGCCTAGCATGTTAGAAGTTCTGGGTTTAATTCCCATTTGCCACACGTGTACAAAACCCTAGATATTCTAGATAATCAAAGGAAAAAAAAGAGAAGTCCATAACTCTGTTACTCATGGCCACTGATAGGTTATGGCCCTAGTATGAATTGCTGAATTATTATGGTGGTCATCTAATAGGGCTGAAGCCCTTAAAACAACAGCTTATTTTCCCAGAGACCACCTCCCCCTGCTTCTCCACCTCAGCCCAGGGTGTAGTTTCCTTTCAGCTTTCCTACCACCTCAGGGAAGGACCCAACCAGCTCCTCAGGTATATCTAAGCATCCCTCTCAAACCCTACCCCTGGCGAAAGGCCATAAAATGCTTCTAAATACCTAAAGAAGTTTATGCTTCAATCGCTAATGGTATGAAAACTGTTTCAGATCCACTGGTTTGAAGAGGTAGTAATGACTGTGTTGACTTCAATTTTAGGTTGTAGTAGGTATGTTAAACATTAACTATTTGAGGGGCTGGGGAGATGGCTCAGTGGAATAAGCGCTTCCCTGGCAAGCGCAAGGATCTGAGTTTAATCCCCAGTTCCGCAAAAAAAAAAAAAAAAGATTAACTATTTGATCATATTGAAGCAAACACAGAACTTGCTGCTATGTTTTCTTTCTTCAGTGATAAATAACTTACAGGAAAAAAAAAAAAAAAAAGGCCTTAAAAGCCTCAGCCTCCCTTTGTTCCACTCCAGAGAATTCCTTATCTTCCCCACATTCTCTCCATGTCCTGAAAAATAAGAAAGCCCTTTCCCTTTTTCCTTCTGCCTGTTGCTCTGCTGCGACCCTGTCAAAAACCTATCAGCCACTACACATGCTTCTAGATGTCTGCAGGGAAGACAAACAAGATAGGTATTCTGGAGGCACTCTTCAAAATCTTACCCTGAAGAAAAATTCAGGGAATACTTCTCATACAAGTATCAGCGTTTATCTTTTGCAAACCTTTTTAAATCAGGTTATACCTAGAAAATTTTGGACAAACTTTTGGAAAACACACATACACACACGGGCTTCTTTCCCTAACACATGTTTACTCATTAAGAGCTCTTATGTGGGTCTATGAGACAGGTGTAAGGAGGTCAGTTTAACGCTCTAAAATGTGCAAAATGTTCCATAAATGGGCATTTTTACAAGATCTGTGACCAAAAAAATGTTCAAAACTACTGAGAAGCACACACAATCTCATTACTTCTATGACTTGGGTTGGCCTCTTCCACAGCCATTCCTAAACTGAGCCCAGAAATGGTATATGTGAATAAACCCATTGCATTCTAAAGCAGCATCAGTGTGCAGTTCATAGAAAAAGATCTCCTCACCTGGGGTACCCGTCATCATCCATAGTACTAGTGCTCGGTGGAGCATCATGCGACACCGCCAGAAGTAGCCAATCTAATCTGATGGACTCTGGTTGAAGAAGGGACTCTAGAAAAGATGACCTGAGAGAAATAGGAGAGAAAAATCACTAGTCTTCAAAAGAAAAAACATCAAGTGTAAGGGTATGAAGAGAGTTTGATTACAGTACATAAAAATCACTTGAAAACTTTTCTTTTTTTTTTTTTTTTTT